CATAGCAGGCTAGTTGGTTGGTTAGCCACAATGAGACAATCAACGCACCTTTACGTCCTCAATCAAAACAATAGGCTAAGACGCCATGAAAGCCGAGATTAGACATTCAAATAAAGTAACACAAACACTCAAACGTATGTGGTCTCAAATAAGCCGCATATGTAGAAAATAAATGGGTATTTTTAACCGGTATGACAAAAGCAACGTATCGTTTAGCTTGTTACCTTACTGTTGCTATAAAGCTAACTTACGCTAAAACAGGATCCATGATTTCATGCTTTTGACGCATTTATTTGCTATTTCAACGACAGATCTATAAGAGGAAGCACCCTGAACCCAAACAGCGAGAATCCATCAGTATAACTATAGATAAAGTGAAATTAAACAGCTAGTTAGCTTACGGGTCAGGTCAACGGCATAAATTGCTCATTCTCCAATTCCCAAGCTTTGATGACGCTCGTGAAATCAAATCTGTCTGGCTGCGAGCAACGCTGGCGCTCTATTTATTGTTAGCTAACTTTAGCTGTAATCACAACCGGATAGCGCTCACTGGTACATTTAGCTAGCAAAACATAAATCTGTAACTGCGTTACACGTGGACTACATATCCAGTGACCCGGTTAAATAAAACGGTACGCTTTGAAGCAGCTGTGTTTATAACAATCAAGCTGCCACGAGCTAGCTAGTTAGCTGCTAGCTGCTCCGTCTCAAAACCCGCATTACGGCCCATGCAACAGAAACAATGATGCTGGGTCTCAGTGCATCTGAGCGAGACAATTCCGTCGCGTAGCTAGATCTCGACAAAAGCCAAAGCATTTTGCCACGAATAAAAGTCCATTTAGCTTCTCACTCACCTACACATGACCGCAGTTGGTTTCAAACGTGCCTGTATTCTCTCCCTATTCGCAGCTTTTGGGTGTTTATTGCCAAAACATTGTTCTCCGGCGGTCGCTGCTTTCGTCCATCTTGTCCTGGCGCGGGGAATTGTGGGTGTAGCGGACGGGTCGTGAGAGGAGACAGGCGAAGGCTGCTGAGGGTTTTGAGTGAGCTTCACCGGACAAGACAAGTAGTCCTGCGCGCTGCAGTAACGACACGTTAACTAGAACAGATACTGTGATTAGGAGAAGACATGGCGTCGTGCAACTCTTTGTCTTTGCACGTAATTCACAACACATGCAAAGATACGTTAACATTTCTCCTGGAAATGCATTTAAAACTCCCTGCTCGTTTTACTTTTTTTACAATATAGATTTTATAAAGTTAAGTTGTTGTAAACGCAAGTATTATAACTGTATCATTCCTAGTAGTATTGTAGTAATATATAAGTCAGGTTTATGTAAGAATAATATCCTTTGGTACTTTGAAATAGTAGTTATTTACTTGGAGTGCTTTCTTTTTTGAGCTATTATTGTGTCGTTTAATTATTTTTGATTGTTTTTGTTTTTTCCCTTCAGGTTTCTTTCTGGTTTTGTACATTGTGAGTAGGTGCTAGGGTGTGTTAGAATAGGATTTTGGGTTTTCTGTTGATGGAGTGTCTGATTGGGCCCTAGGAAGAATAGCCTTTGTTTTAAGAACCTGATGGGGATCCTGATAAATAAAATAAAGTAAATTGCAATGCCACAATTTGTGTTCGAAAAGTTGAATACTGTATCATACAGGGATTGAATAAACTGTGGTGATAATTTAGTCCGTGTTTTCTGTATTTATGACTTCCCGATATGCTATTTTTAATGTTCTTTGTTCATAAATAAGCTTTTAGGAGGAGCATTACAGACAAGCTCACATCCTACTGAGGCTTGCACAAATTTGTTTCCCATTGACAAAATAAGGGATGCAATGATCCAACTTTTGACTCCAGATATCTCAACGTAATCTGCTGATGAAGATTCACAATCTGATACCAGTGCTCTCACTCATTAAGATCATTTTCATCAGCTCAGGTAACATGAAGTTACGGAGGTGTGAAGGGCCACAATCACAACAGAAAATAACAAAATTCTGAGATAGTGGCCTGCCATGACTGGAATGGAAGTGGAAACACCAAACTGGATAATGACATCAATGAAGGAACTGTTTTTAATGTGCTGGTCACATTTTGCAGCTGTCAGATTGGTGCATATACAGAAATACAGCGCTGGATTACAGACAACCGCCCACTAGCCCCAGAACGCCCACACGGCTTCACTGTGAATTGATTTCAGGTCATTTGATATATGTCAAAATTTCCTCTGGGAATTTGCTCCACTGCAGTAAAAATCAATTAAAGTGAGTCTTGCCTTATGACCTTATGTTGTGGCCCTACATTGTAGAATACCCCTGCGTCAAAATCTAATTTAAAGATGTTTGTATTGTTTTCACACTGTGCATATTCATAAATAACTGGGGATGGCAGGGGGAAATGGCTCATTGTTTGCCCTCTTACTGTTCTATTCCTTAGATTGAATAGAACATTTTCTGTTGGCGGGTGATGGATTCATAATGATGAGAGCGTCCTTTCATTTTTAACTGTTGAAGCACAGCATTTGTGGCTTGATAGAACTGGTTATTTCGATTGCTTACATAATAACTCTTGAGAGCTTTCCTTTCCCCACTGATGCATTTTCATTTAACATTTTAATATCAGCAAGTATTAGCAAAATTAGTACTGTTTTGAGAGCAAAAACAAGTTTTAAAGCAAAACATCTCATCTTAAATCCCTAACTGAACAAACACATATGTTTTTTTATTATCAACTTGTAATTGCCAGTTATCAGAGTCATAAGTTCACGGCGTGTGCTTGGGAGGAGCTGAATGTGATGAAATCAAATAATAAAACAACAGTTAATTGTGACTGAGGCACATTACATTGAGTTGACTCATCAGATCACTCCCTTGTATATTACAGATGCAAGTGTACGGACCTGTCTTGTACAGCACAATTGTTAGGTGAATCATAGCATATTTCCCACATCCCATGTCTTCTGTTCATACAAAAATCACCGTTATCATTATTTCCAAATCCCAAAACGTCAGCATGAAGTGCGTTTCCATCTTGTTGTCATTAACATTTATTTCATATGAACTCCTTATACTGAACAACTCATTTCCTTCTGGTCTGGGCCTAATTCCAGCTAAATTCCCTCCCTCTTTCTGTTCTCCCTATCAGCCTTATTTTCTTTTATTTCCAGTTAACTAAAACAGCACGGAAAGTGGGTGGTTGTTGTTTATAAATTGACAATGATGAAACAACTAAAGAGGAAATCACGATGTTGCAAAATTGCCCGTATTCAAACTTGATATTCCTCTTGGGACTCGTGCCACTGCCTGCTTTCACAGAGGCATGATCTTTATATTGAAAAAATACACAGAGCCGATAGTGTTGATTACATCATTGGCCTCATTGGAAAGGGGACTGCAATGATTCCATATGCAAATTATGTAAGTATAGCTTTGACAACAATTATTCATATTAATTTGATAATATTCAAATAGGGACTTGGTGTGAAACAAGGCTATTTACTATTCCATTTCCTGGACCACCCTTATAATATACCAATAAACAAGTATGTGGATACATTATTTCATAGTGACTTCCTATTGAGTATTCAGTGTACAATGTTGTTCATATCGTCAATTATTTCCTCAGGTTTACTTCCCCTGCAGTAACACTAGGGGGAACCAAATATCTGTGCTTAGACTAACGCATTTTATAGTACTGTGTTTTCCTCAAGATTGAGATAATTAGAAAACAGACAAAGAAAAAAAAGAAAGACTAAAAGGATGGATTCTGCGGTGACATTGTTTACTCGCTCTCATGATTCTACCTTATGGGGAACGGGCTAAAAAATAAATTAACCCCCCCCCCCCCGTGAAAGAGGAATTAGCCACTCTTGCTTCAATTCGTCAACAGTCTTCAATTTGAAGTCCCTCCAGCCGGAGCGCTTCCCTCAAGCAGAAGTGCGCACTGTAGCCTGCTATTCACATTCGCAGGTCTATTGAAGCAGCACCTGGATCTACCAAGGACATAACTATTGAATCGAGCTGTCTGAATGCAGCTTTTGTTTGATATGTAATGTTGAAGGTGTTTTTTTCCCTCCATGGATGAGACCTGAACAAAAAAGTTGCCACTTGCAGCAGACTCCTTTGCGTAAAGGACTGAGTCTGAATCATGCATTGCGCATAATCTCTGCTCATTTACGATTAATTTACAGGAGAGAAGCGCATCTCCACCTACAGGATGCCAGTCGCGCTCTGAATGTTGCTGCATGGTTTTGGGCAGGGGGTACCAAACTTGCGCAAAAGAGCCTGATTCTTCATAAGTATTGATTGCCCGTCACAAGGTGATTGGCACTATGTCAGTCTTACGGAGGAAATTTGGCGAGGACTACCAGGTGGTAAACACCAACCGGGACATGACTTTTTCCGCACCGGCGAAGAAAAAGAGGCAGCGGTTTGTAGAGAAGAACGGCCGCTGCAATGTCCAGCACGGTAACCTTGGCGGGGAGACCAGCAGATACATCTCCGATCTCTTCACCACGCTGGTGGATCTCAAGTGGCGCTGGAACATGCTCATTTTCATCCTCACGTACACAGTTGCGTGGCTGGTCATGGCTTCAATGTGGTGGGTCATCGCTTACATCCGCGGCGACCTGAGCCACGGCGGCCACGACGCGTCCTACACCCCGTGCGTCGCCAACGTGTACAACTTTCCCTCCGCGTTCCTGTTTTTCATCGAGACGGAGGCGACCATCGGCTACGGCTACCGGTACATCACGGAGAAGTGCCCGGAGGGTATCATCCTCTTCCTCTTTCAGTCGCTAATGGGGTCCATCGTGGACGCCTTTCTCATCGGCTGCATGTTCATCAAGATGTCGCAGCCGAAGAAGCGCGCGGAGACGCTGATGTTCAGCCAGGACGCGGTCATTTCGCAGCGGGACGGGAAGTTGTGCCTCATGTTCCGAGTGGGGAACCTGCGGAACAGCCACATGGTGTCTGCGCAGATCAGGTGCAAACTCATCAAGGTACGTTACGCAGTCAGGGTGCGCATTATATCCAAAATCACTATACAAGTAGGCGCGCTTTGGCCGCAGTGAGCGTTTGACTCTTGAAATATATGCCACGATCGAGGCTGAGACCAATTGACAGTCACTTAATTTGTTTGGAAATTGCTCATTGTGTCTTATGAGTGCTCTTCAAGTCATGCATTGAATTTCCATTCATCTCCAGAGTTGATTGCATTCCCTGAGGGTCTCTGTGATTTGCAGGGGCTTTTGGATTTACATGAGGCTCCAACATAAGATGTGGGCTATTTTAATGAGTTACCATTTACATCTGCCCCCTGTAGCAACTACTTCAGTAGCTGCATTTGTCCTGGACACAGTGATGTCTTTCTGCTGAGTGTGTTGCCTGGTAGTCCCCCTCCAACTGTACACAGATGAGATGAACTGGCCCCCAGGGGACAGTATGTGGGAAACTACGCTTATTGACTAAAAGATTAATTGAACCGATTCCTTTACTGAGCGGGAAAGCCTTTTTCCTCGGGTCAGTCTTGCCTAAAGACATAAAGCCACTAATGTGAAGCACAGAGAGCAGACAGTGATTTACCTTTGGATGAAATGTCTGTTGGTTTCAGAGCTGAAGGAATCCTCAGGATGAAAGGAGCTGAGGCAGCTGCTGCTATATGATAAGAGGATAACATTTTGTGTCAACTTCACAACTAACAGAGACTGAAACTGCACTGTCGAATTACACCTGGTTGTTTTGTGTGTTGTTGCTGGACAACACTTATTATCTACCACGTCTATTCATTTAATCAGAAGCAGATTTCTTTGACAGATGTGTTTTTTTTATGTGCCAGCAACACATTCTCCCACTATAGCAGGAATGTCTTGTACATGGAATCTACTTTTCTCCAGTCCACATTTAGAGGAGATCTACAGGACAGCGGTGCTTTGTTGTGACAGGGAGAGTTAGCGGTGCTTTTGTCGTCTCTGCTGAGTAGGGAGATGATCTCAAGTGACAGTTTACTTTCTGGACCTGGAGGGAGAATCACCAGAAAGCTCCCAGTATGTTAGTATTAATGTGGCTGTACTTAATGCTTGGTGTTGTTCATCCAGGCATGATGATATCATTTAAAATAGGTTCTCTCCAGTCATTTATCATCTGATTCGAGTCACATTAAAAGCCACGACTCAACGACTCATTATTGCTTATGTTCCAGCTTTTTCCACAACAAGTTTTATTTGATTTCATTATAATTTACTTTTTAATTAAAAGTCTAGAAAGGTAAAGAAAATATTGTGTGTTAATTGCAATTAATCAACACAGCATCACAGAGGCACAAATGCTATATCATCAACTTTTCTCCGTCTACAGAGACCAATAGTTCCATAGAGAGAGATTAATATTCTGTAATAGTCGTCTATGATGCTTTCAACTGGTGATTTAAAACAGAACGAAAGCAGAGTATTTACCCACGGAAAATGCTGTCATGTTTGACCTTGGTCAAAATTGTCTGTGAGCCAATATTTCAGATATCGCTTCAGTATAACTCTTTTTAGCACATGGAGCAAGGACAGATTTGTTATTAAAGAAGAATTATAGTTTAGGTTATGGTCTTTATTTGAAGTGGAAAAGGGGAAAACTTGTAGTGTGAGTCTGTCTGAATCACAACATGAAAAGCTGAACAAGCTGCTGCAGCACGGCTGAAGAGTAGATACATAACCAGTACTTTGGCTACACTGCACCTCACTCAATTTACCTCCAAGGTCTTTTTTAAGAAGTAAATGAACCTGCCTGAGAATAATGTAATTACTGGAAAGGGGAACGTTTCTTGTTTGAAGTGTTCCCACCCATCTCCTTTTCAGGCCTTGGCTCTCCTTCAAAGATCAGTTCGATTTATGTCATGATCCTGATCTGGGATTTCTACCAATAGGTGATGATCTGTAATTAAATCACCTTTCAGCAGTTATTCATGTGTTGGTGGAAGGTCAGACATCCAGGACGTTCATGTGCCATCAATCCTGCCCCGAGGACAACAGCAGACAGTCAAATTGTGCTTTCTAAGCTCACTTTTTCACACTGCAGTTTCATATGTTTCATGGACAGTGGGACTTTTAAATATATGCTACCTTAGTAAAAGATCAAACCCCTATTTCTTTGGATTCTAGACTAAATGTGTTGTTAAGAAGGACACATTGCTGCTGAATAGATGCTGTATGCTAATGTGTCTTTTTAAGCCTTTTAAAGTTTTTAAGTCAAAAGACACAGTGATGTATTAGAGCTCATAAAGCTACAGCATTGTGGTGTCAGAGTGAATTGACTACACATCGCCCCCGTAGCTCTAGACACACCGTAGGAACAATGCCATGACTTGTGTTCAGGTAATGCACTGCTCAAGGTCACTGTCAGAGGGGTTGCCGACAGAGCTGACTGGAGAAATGAGACATGCAGCAGTAAATCCTAATGATGGAGCTGTGTAAACGCACTCTGACATGGCGACTGCAATCTATTTTCCGGGATAGGCACGGGTTGTAAATTCTTATGGGATCTGGATACCTGGATAAAGTTGGTCACGTTCTTGATTCAGCACTCTTGTTATTTAAATTGCGACATAATTACTATGCAGGAGTGCGTCTATAAGTTCTTAACGTTTGTTAAAACAGCAAACCTTTCAGAAAACCTGCTTATAATAGATGGGGTGTATGTGATAAGCAACTCACATACAGTAAGAACATCAAGGTGAAGCATATTTTGGTGCAGCGTTCTAACTCTTTTCGACTTTATTTTGTTCCCTCTTTTTCATAATGATCGAGGAAACGGTGATAAAAGACGGTTTTCTAAAGACTCACATTGCAGTATGTTTCCATTTGCTGTCAACATCAGTGTCAGCCTTGATATTGCCAAGTTTTTATGAAATATTTTGTAAGAACCAAAACATCCTGCACACTGCCTACTCAATTTATCAGCATATGGTGCTGCTATTGCCCTCTAGTTTTGGTGGCTATGTTTTCGTATATATGACGTGTGACGACCCTCTCTGCCTGTTCGTTTGGCTGCCTTCCTTGCAGGGGTGGAGGTGGGTGTGGCAGAGGGTCGTCAGGCAGAGTGGAAGCACCTGAGGCCATTTGCAACACTGGCCCTGTGTGCCAGAGCACTCCGTACAAAAACCCTCTGGATGTTCAGTTGGCTCTTGCTCCTTCCTGAGACACCCACTTTGGCTTTGGCTTTGGCTTTGGTTTTGGTTTTGGTTATGGTTATGGTTATGGTTTGTTTTTACACTATACAACACTGCATATACACTTTACACGCACCCACTCACTTACACTGCTGAAATGACTGACTTCACATGTCACTGTTAGTTTATGTTTGTCTTTTATATTACTTTAAACTTAATAAATAATTAATCAACTGTTCATTGAATGCATCTCCCTTTTTTGTCATGGCCGTTCGGCCCGGTTTGTGACAAGTGGGGGCTCGTCCATCCAAATTGATTGGTTTGAGGATGATATTTGGTTCTGTGTTTGGGAGATGCATTTTTTTTGGCAGCAGTGAGTACATGGTCTTCTAGTGTGTTCGTTGACTTTTGTGGAGTGTCCCTGGATAGATGAAGCAACGTGGTCTGTGTGGCGGCGTTGGTTTGTTTTTTTTGGTTTTTTTGTTTGTTTTTTTGTGTGGTGTGCGGTCAGAGCAGTTGTCTCGGGGACACATCCAGAGCTGTCAGGTGAGTAACCAGCTTGCTGGGGGCTTAACCGGGCTACTGGTTTAAGTGTTTAAAAAGCCTCCCGCTAATCTACATGAACACTAGGGTTCAGTGAGGTAGATTAGTTTGGTATAGGCAGTTTGGTAGAGGGACTACCACATTAGTTGGGTGACATATCATTGTCTCTTTTATGGCACTAGTTGACCTAGAACAGTCTGGTTTTGTGGTGGCCTTTGTCCTGGTATAGTATGGCAGGGGTACAGGACTTTGTTGATGCTCCAGGTGAGGAGTTTCTGGATCGTTGCAGTAGAGATCAGCTCTTTAAGATTGTGGAAGAGTATGATATTGATTTAAGTGGTGTTGGTGATAAACGACTTAAGGAAAATGTAAAGGCTATGGTTAAAAAGCAGTTGGTTGAAAGACGGGTGCTGGTTGCTAAACAAGAGGGACTGAGTCAGTCAATAGCAGCACCGGCACTTTCAGTTCCATCAGGGAACTTTACCTTTGAGCAGCAAAAATAATTGCTTTTGTTGCAGTTTTCTCATGAGAAGGAGAAACAGAGTGGAATTGGAGAAACAAAGAGTAGAAGTGGATAAACAAATGGAAATTGAGCGGTTCCGGTACAAAATAGAACAGGAAAAGATAGCATTAGTCAGAGATGGTAAGCTTTCTGGAGATGTTTTTCACGCGGGAAATGGTTCATCGCGTTCTCGTGATATTGTCAGTAATTTGCATCTCTTGCCTAAGTTTAACGAGAAGGATCCGGATGTGTTTTTTACACTGTTTGAGTGGGTTGCACAGGCAAGAAATTGGTCAGACTCTGAGCAAACCTTGCTGTTGCAGTGTGTGTTGTCAGGAAAAGCCCAGGAGGCATATGCAGCTTTAGATGATGATCTAACTTATAAATCAGTCAAGGATGCTGTACTGAAGGCATACGAGTTGGTCCCTGAAGCATATCGCCAGCGTTTTAGGATGTTGGAAAAAAGGTTCAACCAGTCTCGTATGGAGTTTGCGAGGGAGCTGACAAATAATTTCAATCGTTGGTGTATGTCTTCTGATGCTAATGATTTTGGAAGTTTGTGTAATCTGGTCGTCTTGGAACAGTTTAAGAACTCTCTGCCCAGTCGTGTTGCCACATATCTTACGGAGCGTAAGGTTACAACTGCCAACCAGGCTGCGGGATTGGCTGAGTATGTGCTCATTCATAAAAGCCGGCTCGGTGAGCCTGTGTGGGAACCTGGGTTGCAGAATGATGGAGGGGTTAAGTCATCTGGTCGCTTGGGGGATTTTCCAGGTGGAGCGCCTGTAATGGGAGAGGAT